CTGCTTGCCCAAATTTGGGTTTATCAGCCCCAAATTCCTGGAGGTCAGGCCAACAAGGCCTTCAGTGGCAGAGAGTCCCCGATCCTTGCTGTCCCACCCCAAGCCCAAAGGAGCAAGGTTCTACCCACAGCATTTGTGTTTCTGCGGGTTTATTAGCTGTGAGGGAAACGCAGCGCGACGCGTACAGAACACACTCGAAGCCCAAACCAAGCCTCTCCCCACGCCCACCCGGGCCCAAGCAGCGCATCCCCAAAGCTGTCCCTCCAGAGCTGTCTCCGTGGACCCAGCCCTGCCAGCCCGCCTCTCCCCAGCCTGGCAGGATGTGGCAACCCCGACCTGTGGTCAACAGAAGGCCGAGGCCACGGCCAAGTCATCAGGGTGCCCCCTGCACAGAGAAGTCCCAGGATGAACAAAGCGTCCTCATCAGGAGGTGGACCACCAGGGCCAGCCCTGTGAGCTCTGAAGGACACTTCCATCCTCGTACCCAGGTCTTTCCCATCTCCACCAATCCCCAGGCTACTTTCATCTCCAGGAATTCAGGTTCTGGGTGTCAGATGACGGGGGCGTGCGTATGTCTCACGTGACTCTACAGGCACCTGCCACATGAAGGCTCAGGTGGGACAGAGTTGACACCTGGCCAGGAGCTTAGAGGGGGATGATGGTCCCACTTTGTCCTAAATGAACCCTTAGGTCCCTCTCTACGGGGTGGCTTGGGGTAGGATGTCCCCTGTCCTGTGTTGAGTGGTCTACGATTGTGTCCCTGTGGGGGAGGAAACCAGGCCAAAGCAGGGCCTCCCCCCCTTAGGACACACAGGCCGAGATGGCTGGTGACATGTGTGGAAACTTCTAGACCCCAAAGCGAATTTCCCACCGAACAGAGGAACTGGAGGTGAGGGGACTTTTTTTGGGAGTCCCCATGGGTCACATGAGAGCCACAGAAGTGAGGTCCTTCTTCGTGAGAGGCCAAGAAGATTCATGCCTGAGAACCAAACAGGCCGCAGGCGAGGGGTGGACGCTTCTAGGGAAAGGTTTCTGAGAGGGACGGGTCACCCC